AATTAAATTAAATTCTAAATTGTATGTCAAACATACGTAGTTGTTCATAAAATCACTGCATAATATTATTTGCTTTATTATTATTATTTCCCATATTACAAAGATCGATCAATACTTGATATATACCTAATAGGTATAGTGTACACAACGATCAGCTGATTGAATAAAAGGTTGTATTTCTGTTCAAAGTTAATAATAATATAGGTACTGGACGTCGTATAATATTAAATTATACGAACAGATAAGATTATTTTGGCTAAACATTCCGTTTCGTACTTATATGTATATAATAGTATATACGTTTATATGGTATCTACACAAAAATATCCAATATCCATATTCCTTTTATAATTCGATTATCGTTTTTATAGCACAAACGCATCAGTTGGCGCATAGTATAATAACAATAAAATATTATTGTTATGTCGTATTTCAGTGGATTTTGTAATAGACATACCTAATAATATCTGTCCCTTAAAACCGGCCGCACCGCCGCACAGCGTACAACATATTATAATGTGTATTGTATGTTTAACTGCAACACGAGCAGCGCAAGCACTCATCGCTATCTCTCGCCCATCACACGGCAACGATATTGATAAAATAATAATAATAATAATAATAATACTACGCGCAAAAAAACGCATTACAATAATGATAATATTGTAATGTATCCGCCACAAAAGTTCTGTATGACGTACAAACGCAATTAAATATATTGGATTGTGACGCCGTGTTCGATGAGCCGCGATGCGTTTATTTGCGTTACTCGATTTTTAATGGTTTCCTATAAAAAAAAAAAAAAAATAATAATAATAATAATAACGATAATAATATCGCATCTGACATCCAATACGCCGATTATGTTGTCGTATATGCATTGACCGTATCGTTCGGTCCCAAAAGTCACAGTGCTGCAGTTAGTGCAGTTCTTCGGCGGCGCGATGCTGCGCACTACGATAATAATGTGCTCGCCCGCGGTATAGAACGATGCACTCATCTCTCTCGTGCGTGTACATCGCCGCGCACGGCGATATCGTGCAGTGGGGTGGCGGAAAAAAAAAATATGGCACATTAAACGCGCGTCCGCGGGTAATCGCTGGGGATGCATTAAACCGTTGTTTAGCGGCTGCTGTATTTGCCGGTATACGTTTTCGTGACGATTGTTTTCCGTTTTATTTGGACAAAAAGCGATTTTCCGCGATCGCCACGGCGTTATCTGTATTATGGTGTGTACTCCTAAACGCGCTCATCGCTGTATATCCGGCGCTGCAGCCGCACATGTCGCGGTTACGAGTCCCGGGCAAGGGCGGGCGGGGGGGCGAACAAATTGAAGTGCTTGTGTATATAATATGACATTATATTGTTTTTGTTCTTGTACGATGTTATTATACCTACTGTGCGATGTGCCGGCTTGGGGTCCTCGATGCCGCCGCCGCCGCGTGGACATTGGTCAGCAGCCCTCCTCCTATAAATAACTCTTGTACGTCGTATGCGGTCAATTGCCCGTGTCCCTTACACAAACAATTGTGCAATCGGCCGGGCTCGTAAGCATATTATTATACACTATACGGTGTGCACCGTAACACCGTGTGCACGGCTAGTGCATTATAAAACACTTATAATATGATAATAATAATAATACGATGTATACAACTGCGGGCGGCGGCGGCGGTGTACGACTTGGCGCGGGGTCTGGCGTTTTCAATTATTATAAATCGTCCCCAACTGTCGCGTACGCGGGCTCGCGATGTTGTAAACCACCGGAACCGTCGAATCATGTGACATTTACGAACTGATAATAATCCATATTTCTGTCTGCGCGCACGATTGTTTACGAGCTCGTGCGTAGTATACAATATGACGCAGGCTGCAATGATGTTGCACTACATCATATACTCTAATATTGCTGCAGCACACATTGTATAGGTACACTCGTACGCACGATTCAAGTCCCCAGCGAGTAAGTGTCCGTGTGTATATATGTATAGTTTATATTCATCATATATGTATGTCGTAGATATTGCTGCGAGTATTTTACGCCTTTGTCGTATTAATTATGAATCATGATGATGTTAAATGGGCGTCGGAATATCGGATGTTATATCCTAAAATTTCCGCCACTTCTGCCGGAAATATAATGTATTTTTTCGACGTTTGTACCTATATACAATTGCACATTTGCACGTATTGAGATATGAATGTCAGCGTGCAAATCTACCAAATCCACGTATTTATATTCAAGTGTAGCCCAACTTTTATTATTATAACTACGCTTATATAATATGTAATGGTTGTATTTGTATAGGTACCTACATGGTTTTATATCGCGTATAACGTATATGTGTCAAAGCTTGTATTTGAAAAAAATAAATTTGTTTCACGTTATTTACAATTAAACGTTGTACGAATTTTTTTTGAGTTTATCGTTATTCGAAATTTAGACGTAGTCATTCAATTTTTGCGTTTATCGTTATTCGGAATAAAAATTTTTAATGGTATGTTTTATACATTTTAACTATTAAATAATTGGAAATTAATTATATTTCGTTTAATGACATACCGTACTTAACGTTTTGCGTTATGTTTTGTTTGATGATACATCATACATTTTGTTAATCGTTATGTCTATTGTGTTATATAATTATTTATGTTTATCGTTTTCCGATATAATTACGTTTACAAATTTCAATCGCTTTTCTTTTTCTTTTTTTTTTGTCAAATATAACGTTATTTTAATGTTTGCAAGCCCTGATATGCATCCATATAAATTTATATAATACGTACAGTACACATACACACTGGTCACCGAAATCGATAAAATAATTATTAGTCCCAAATTAGTAATTAATGTGCAATTATTTTCTGTTTTAATTATGTTCTACGATTAATGAAGATACGCCAGATGAATAATTATTATTACTACTAGCCACTACGCTAGATACGGCAAATGAAACAAAATCTTTCTGCATGTATTTATTAATAAAACATGATAGTTCTTGTGAATATTAAATATTTATTATAGTATATACACTCATAATATTGAACAATTAACACGGTTTGTTAGTTTAAATCATGTATATCTATCTATTTATATATATATATATATAAATATTATACATGTATTACGAATTTAAATAATATAATCAGCCCAAACATCAATTTATTGATTATTAATCAAGAGTGCAATAGTAAAAAGTTCGAAGTCAAATAATTTGAACCTAGTTCAGTAATTATTACTGTTAGAGCTATGTTTCATCAATTTCGGTTTAGAGACAAAAAAAAAGTTAACATGTACACTCAAATTTTCCAATTTCTTATGAATTTCATACGAACTTCACTAATTTGTATACAACTAAATTAAAATATTATTTTTAAATTTTAATAATTATCAAACTATGTATGAATATGATATAAATTTCGCCGTATACAAATTGAGAACCCGGTTGTGTACAACTATAAAATTTGTATATTTCATATACAAATAATAATAATATAAAAGTATACACAGTACACTTTAAAAACATTGAAACTTTATGCGCTAAAGCCTTAAAAACAATGAAATACGTGCGTAGATCATAATGATATACACTAAAAAAATTTATATAGTAATATTAAATTATATATATTTTTTTTTTATCAATTATACATTTATATGTATTATAAGAATACACTACAAACATTTGTACCTAATTATTAAAAAAATTTGAATAATATGCAAAAATATGAATTAATATTACCTATCTATATTTATTATTTTTAAAACTAAGTTTATATCAAAATAATGATTTAAGTCTGTTAATTTAAAAATTCTAAAACAACATACTATTAATATTTGATATTATGTACCTATACTTGCTAGTTGCTTTTGAATGTTAATAAATACATTTTTTTAAAGTACAATTCATTCACATATTTCAAATTATGTATGATAAAAATATTTTTTTATTTCTCTCGATGACACTAAGTATTATGTGTGATGAATTATTGCATATTAAATGTATCGATTTCTTTGTTAAGCGGCGTACATGCGCAAATAAAACCATAAGTGACTGTGTATTCATATGGTCTGTATATATGTTTTGCACTCAACTATTGCAAAATTTTTTTACTTATATTGAAATAGTAAATGTATGCGATTTTTAATGAAGGGATTTAGTGTGATAAATTTACATACACAAGTAATAATAACCGGTTCGTCGCCACCCTTCGAGAATGGCTATCCCGGACAACAAAAACAACCTCTAGTTTGCTATTTCGAAAACAAGGGTAACTCATTTATTTATTTAAAAATAAAAAAATAGCTAATAATACGCCGTTGCTTTTTCGGGATTACCGGCCCATAACAAGTTTAGACTAATGAGAAAGACACGCGACCGACGTAACGCCGCGCAAAGCTTCAAAAGAATAGCATAAAATATCATACATATTATATTATTATATATATGCACGTAAACGCGTAATATGGTTTTTATTTTCAAACGAGCCCGGCTAATCCTCTCTTTATGAAATATTATTGAAAACAAACGCGAACACAATAGTGCGGAATACATTTTTTAATGCTTGGTGTGTAACAACCCGCCTTGGAAGTAATCAAAGCAGCTATGTATAATATAGTGATTCGATCTTTGTGATGTATATACTGCCGCTGTGTAATGTGATACGATCATCTTGATTCTCAATAGCTAATGACGTCAAAGTGTTCGTCATATATTATACAGCGTGAAGTTTATTGTTTTTTAATGAAAGTAAAAAATGTAAGGCTGTGATTGAAAATACTTACCAATTATTCACTGTGACTACACGTAATATAATAGATTAGGTATAAGATGCTATAGAATAAGTCGTAAATAAAAAATAATTTGATTTTCAAAAAATATGTATTGTATTTTCGTTTGAGGAATAAAAAAACAATACGTTAACAAATAATTATTTATCATATATCATACAAAATATAATCATTATAAATATCATATATTATATAAAAATAAAAGTATAGGATTATCTTACGTGTCAAAAATACGTACAACTCTCCGTGTGTAAGACTCTTAAAATATATATATAAAAAAAAAAAAAATAAATAAATAAATAAAAATATACATAAAACTTAAAAAAAAAAGTCACTCGTCAATTGCATTCCCTCACAACGCGTTAATCATTCAACGATACGATATATAATATGATGTGTATGACGAATAGCAAACACCAAACAATATAATGCGTGAGTCGGGCCGATAAACTTTTACGTATCTGCTGCAATCGGATTCGCGAGTATAGTTATAATTATTGCTATAATATTATTATATAATATACTATGTATAAGTACAAAAAAAAAAAACGAAAATGGCTTTGGTTGAGGTCGTTGACTAGAATACGGTTCATGATGATAATTCACAGCAAAAAAAAAAAAATGTCAGAGGAGAAAAATTCTCGTCAAGTCGTCGTTTACGCGTTAGCTGCTCGTTTGCCACTCGTCGATAAGTACGCATGCATACTAACGGTATGAGCGCGGAGTAAACGTTTAGGGGAGGGTTAAATTTAGTACGCCACTTCGGCGCCCCAAGGCCTGTACGGTTTCATCTGTGCGGAAACGGACGAATCGGATTGGTATTGCTGTTGTTGTTGCTGTTGTTGCTGGTGGTGGTGCTGTTGGTGCATGGAGGCCTCGTCGTGATAGCCCGACGGAGGCTGCGGAGGCGGCGGTTGAACGGGCTGCAAGTTGTGCAATTGGTTGCCGGCACCGCCGCTGCCGCCGTGCTGGTGTTGGTGCTGGTAGTCGTCGCGACCGCGATGGTGGTGCTGCTGTTGGTGATGGTGGTGGTGATGGTGATAGTCCGCCGGGACGGACGACAGGGTGGTGAGGCCGACCGCGTCCGCTTCGGCCGCAGATTTGATGCCGTCCGCGGCCGTCGCTGACGTCTCGTAATTGTTGTTGTTGTGGCTGGGCGGCGGCGGCGGCGGGGCAAGTGTCAGCGGCGGCGGCTGCTGTTGTTGTTGGTGAGGCGATGTCGTCGACGGGTAATGGTGCGCCGGCGGAAGAGTCGGCGGCGGTGGCGGTGGAGGTGGCGGCGCTCCGACGTGATGACCGCCGTACCAACCTGGCGGAGGCGGCGGCGGCGGCGCGTTGTGGTGTCCCGCGGCGGCCGGTGACTTGGCCGCGTACTCGCGCTGCGCCGCAAAGTACTGCAAGTGCGACAGTAGCCGCTCGCGCAGCGGGTCCCGGCCGTTCATGCCTTCCACCGACTCCAAGTACCTGGCTACCTCGTTGGCGCATTCCCTGAACCCGATATTGTGATAGTCCATCGCGTATTTGGACGGGTCGTAAGCCAACGTGTCTAGACCTGTGTGAAAAAAAACAAAACATATTGTTAATAATAATTGTTACTACATTATAATATTGTATTTTGTGATTTGCAATTTTACAATTTTTCAAAAATTTAAGTTCTGAAGTTTAACGTTACTAGTAGGTATAGGTACTAATTACGTATTTTCGATGATTATAATTTGATTTTACAAAGTTAATATAATTAACTTGTCGTATTTTATTGAACTTATAATTAATTGCATATTATGATAGACTTGTACAAACAGCTGTGCAGGAACTTTTAGTGAAAAATGTTGCTGAATTAATCAATATTATTACTATTCACTATATACCACTTAACCATAACCGCCATTAAATCGTTTTTTTATAAATTAATAATAAAAATTGAATTACAAAAAACCACAATATGACCCGCAACCACCCGTTTAAAAAGACTCGGTCGAACTTCCCACCACTAATTGTAATTTAATTGAGTGTGAACAAACAATTTTTGTACACGGTCACAGGTTTATAGCTTATCTGCTAGCTTCATGGTCTTGTTGTTTTTGGAGACTAAACGTTAAAGTTTTTAACTATTTTTTGGATGTCAGGCACCTAATAAATAAGATTGCTTTTATACATATTTACGTAATTCTTGTATAAGTATAATGATACTTAATGTTAATCAAATTTATTTAATTTCGGAATACGGGACAAGGCAACATTGTTTTAAATATTATTTTTTTATAAAACATATCTAATTTTATATTTGTTTAAAGATTGTCATCGGGTAATAATTGGTATTCCCACGATATCGTACACGGCCGATTTACGAGTTTGCGGGTAATAATGGTAATAATAATAGTAATCATAATAACAAACAATAAATCGTCGTGTGATCGGTGGTGTTTGCGTATAAATATACGCGCGCGCGGGGGCTGCCGTCTAAAGAGAAACGATGATCGTCAAAACGGCAGTGGTTGGTGGCGAATCGTGGGAAAAGGGTGGCGCCGATTTGCGACCGACGAGGGGCAGCTGACACGGAATCACGTTCTCACGGTAATGTGTATATACGGTGTATAAGTATAATCTGTCCGTATTACCACCCCCTCCGCGATATCGCGATTTAATTTTGACCATTAAATAAAAAAAAAAAAATAAAAAACACAAGTGAGTTAACAATTTATGTACACGGACACGAGTCAGAACAGCGATAAAAGTCTTAATTCACACGATCGAAAACACCTGATGGCCGCGCGTGCTTACAACACGAAAGTATAGAAATATCACGTCTCGAATAAAAACAACAAAAAGTGTTTTCGTATAATACTATTAACAGTATGATCCATTAAAGCGTCTATACCGACTACATCTAAATAATAATTGACGTACTGAAATATCTTTCACGCGCATATTATATACGCATTGCATAATCAAGTATATACACTGACCCATATACAAAGTGTACTTAAATAATGTCTAAATAATCGGTACAAATGAACCAAGTCGACGTCGAATGTATAGTCGTTAAATTCAAACCGATACTCGAAAAGAAGGTTTTTTTCGTGAAAAAATAATATCATTAAAACGCAGTTGTCTATGGTCACGACGTGTGACACCGTCATCGTTGCGTATTATAATAATATAATATGGTGATAAAATGTATTAGGTACTGCGGTTGTATGCCGCGCGTGTTCCACTACGACGGGCACTTGTCGCCGAGGAACAGGATATGTCGAGTTAATAGACTGAATACTTATTTACATCGTACTACTCCGGTCCTATAACCCTTTGCCGGCGGTATAAGTAGTTATGCATGTACACCTTTTGTTAAATGTTATGCCACTGCGACGGGAAGTCGACGAGAGGCAGGTGTACTGGTATGTAGCAGCGTATTATAACAGTCGACGACGAAGACGACCACAGCTTAAAATATATTATAATTTAACGTACTTGCGCAACGACAAATCGTTAATGGGATATGCGACCGGAAAATCAGCCCGAAAACACAATAATAATATAATTGTATAGTACTAGGATTATTTTATTTCAAGAACCAACGATACGAATGACTGGACGCCAACCTTTATATATATATTTAATATTTATACTACATAATTGTTATTATTATTGGGCTATTAAATATACGTTTGTATAATTGAATGTGAATAGTATGTAATATATGCCAAATCCGTCAAAGTTTAATAAAAAAGATTTAAATAGTTCAAAAAAATCTAAGAAAAAAACCAAAATGTTTTACGAACACGTGATTCAAGTCTATCATAACTTTGATGTATATAATATATATAATAATAATTACAACAAATATTGTTGGTAAACGAGAGATTTACCTTTTGCGTGAATCATTTTCAAATGATCGACCGTGAGCTGTAAAATTTCGGCCTTTTCCAATTTGGCCGAACCCTGTTTTTCGTACGCTGTGGGCACAAGACGCCTGAGTTCGGACAAGCTGGTGTTGATGCGATCACGACGTCTCTTTTCGATGATACCCCGGCGTTTTTTTCGGGTGAGCATGTGAGGCGTGTCGGTGCCGTCTCCGGGCGAAGAACAACTGTGGGAAAATAAAAAAAAAAATGTGTAAGTAAACCGATTTAAAATAAGTCGACAAAAAATTTCGGATAAATTTTTTTTTTTTTTTTTATAAACACGATTTCCGTGTCGGCAATAATTTTATGTCACGTTAAGATCCGAAGTAAAATGTTGAAACGTACATACAAAAATCGACGTTTCTAAAATTAGTAATTACTCCTTCGAAATAGGTACGACGGATTATCTGCCGAAGAGTTAAGCTCGTATATACTGCCGGATAGGCGTACTTACTGGTCTTTGCTGGACTCCTCTGAGAACGCGTCGTCGCAATCGTCGCTCTCGTTGAAATGCCTTTTGACGCCTTGTTGATGGTGTCGGGACGACGGCGGCGGCGCGGGCATCGAACTCCAAGGTCCGTAGCCCCAGTGGGGGGGCTCGGCGGTGGCGGCGGCCGTGGTCGTGGCTGAACGGGCGACGAATCCGATGGTGAGCCGTCACGCAAGGGCACCACCATGCGCCACAGCGGTTGACGGCGGCCGGGATCCGCAGTAGCCGCGCATTTGGGCCGTGCGTCCGATACGCGAGGCTGCAGGCCGCCACGGACCGCAGGTCGGTGGTGATGGTTGTGGTTAGCCACTTTGGCGGTCGCGGACGTAACGAATGCGAAGAAAAAAATAAAATAAACCTCCCTGTACGGCGGGGGGGTGAGAGGGTCACGTGTTTCGGCCCCTTGTTTGCGGTTTTATCTTTAAGGAAACGGTCTCGTCGCGGACCACTTGTTGACTCGGCGGCGGCGGCGGCGTATGTCGTATATTAAAAGTGCGGGCGAGCGTGTGCGCGACGTGTACGACGTGAGCCGGACGACTGCCGCGGCGCGTGGACGACCGGCGGCCGTACGTCGGTCGAACGCCGTCCGGACGCCCCACGCCGCAACGCCGGCCGCCCCCCACCACCGAAAAAAACAAATCAAACAGACAGTAGAAAACCGGAAGGGCGTCCCTTCTCACCCGCGGCACGGCCATCCGGTTCCGAGTGTGTGCGCGCGCGTGCATACGTGGGTGTGCGCGCGCGGTAATAATATTATACGCGCACACGCGACGACTGCGGCGTTATCGCGCCGACGAGTGTGTGTGTGTGTGTGTGTGTGTGTGTGTGTGTGTGTGTGTGCGCCCGTAGTCTACACGGCGTTTCGTATGAATTACGGTCCACACACACACACACACGCACACACGCGTATTCGTCTCGGCCGTTATCGCGCGCGCCAGGACAAAACGGCCGACGACGTCCGTCCCGAGTACGTGTGTACGGCAAATCGTCAGCGGGCACGTGATCGGCCCGAGTCCGCGACACTTGTTATTAATTTCGCGTTAATAGGTGTGATGTAGTACACCGATGTGTGGCGGTGACCGAGCGCGCACACGTTGTCCGTTATTATGTTACGAACGGACTCGTGGCGCTTTTTAAAACGGTATAACAATATTTTATACCACTGGTGACGGTATGATGATGTTGTTGTTGTTGTTGTCGTCGTCGTCGGCGTCGGCGTCGGCGTCCGTCGTCTCGCAGTGCAGATCGCACGTGCGGGCTAATTATTATTATCGTCTCCGATTTGACCATATAATTCACGACAATATTATCATCGGCACGTCGAGATGTGGTCGAGGCCGGATTGGGGGCGGGGAGGTAGTTTCGGCCCTTCGAAAAATATTTTTTTCTACCGGTCCACAATTCATTATATAGTATAGCCCATATTAATATCCATTATTACCCGTCAATAATAATAATTAAATTTCACATTTGTTGACAATATAAAAATGTATCAATCTCATCTAAATAAGCTACACCAGAAAAAAAGAATTCAGCACATTTCAAGCGAACTCCTAGTTAACCCTCCCCCGTAGGGATAGGTTTGATTAAAAACTTAAAGCGGCCCTTCCAGAGTGGCGAGCAGTGAGCCGCAGCGAAAATTTGCGCGCAATCCGCGAACGACGACGATTCGCGGCCGGCGTGTTATTCGATTTATGTTTGAACAGCGTTTGAATGATATGATTATAAATATTAGTACGATCGGAACGTCGACCGAAACCGTTCATATTTTATTGTTTAGCGGTTAGAAATCAAAAAGGTAGTGCTCATTGTTGTTTCGTCGAAATCGCAAATCGCACTTTCGCGCCAAACTGCCCGTAAAGTCCCCGGTATTTTTATTCTTACAAACAATTTCGACATTTTATTTTTGGTAAATCATAATACCGAGGTTGCTGCCAGCCTTTATTGTCTGTGATGACTTGTGACGCGCAGACGTCCGTCGTGCAAAGTCGCCGAAAAGAGACGCTATCGTACTCGACGTCGTTATGGATATTTTTATTTGACACGTCCGATCTCTGATCTGTTATACGTCGTAGGTACCTACGATATGATTATATACGGCTGTAGTAGACGTTTAGATAACTACCGTTAAAACGGCAGCCGTGAGCTTTTATTGATATATACGGTCGGTAATGGGTTAATGTTCCATTATTCGTTATTCAGCGATCGAACGCCGAAAATGACTTTCCAAGAAATTTTTCGACATTTTTGTCAAGTACGATTCGGTATTTCGTGGGTAATTTACCATAAACTATTTTATAATGGCCTTTTAATATTAACTTCACCGTGTAATACTGTTATATTCATACGTCAATAGTGTTAAATATTTAAAACTTTTATTGATGTTACACACATATTTTTATATTAAAAATATTTTTATTCCTTGTATCATGTTATACATCAATAGTATCGAAGTGCTGCACATGTAAGTAGTAAGACCAAACACTTTTAATTTAATTTGCATAAATTTAAAGGTTCAGCAACATCACACAAGCGATAGATACTATTATAATATAGTAGGTACAAAAATATAAAAGTACACATACCGTGCATTTATATTATAAATAATTCACTCTCACTTTATCAAATTGCCGTGTGTATATACACCGTTCATTATATAAGTAACGATAATAAATGCTTTTACCGTTGTACACGTGCGGTGTAATTTAAGTTTACAACGTACCTACCACGACTAAAGGACAACACACGATATACTTAGCGGATATGGTTAAAAAAAAAATGCAACATAATGCACTTATATAATATATATCACAAAGTGGATCTTGCAGCGTCGACCCCACGCATGCAGCTATATTATAGTTTATAATAATATATAAAATATATATACCTATGTGATATACTCAAACGGTTAGCGCGTGTGGTTTATCGCGGTATAACTCTGGTACACCTGTGAATTGAATTCGGTCTGCTGACCGTGATATGCGCACAGTACGTCCGTAACGCTGCGGCGATAATATGTAAAACGAAAAAAACGCTAATTAGTAATCGCTCGCGGCGTGATAATATAACCTTATTAAGTATAGCCGTAGCATAATTCAATGTTTTGATGTCCGTTTTCGGTATGTATCGGGGTGAATCGGATTTTCCGGTTGTCGAATCCTATAAAAACATGTCCAGTGTCCACGATTACGCATAGAATATAGGTATATGACACGAGTAAAAGTCGAAAGGGCGTCCAAAAAAGTTTTTGGACTTCCGTAACTTCGTAATGTGATGTGGAACACGGAGTAGACTGAACAGGTATAGAATGGTAGTCGTGGAGGCAGCCGATATGTATCGAGTATAAATAATGTATATTATACTGTATATGTATATATATTATATATATATACACACACATCATCCCACGCTAGCACGGTTCAGATTCGATATACTTCGTTAAAGTTTTTCAATCGTAGCGTAGGTACAAAGTTCTTGTGTACGCCTTTGGTCTCACCTCGGCAATCAAACGTGTCGTTCGCGTACGTGTAGGTACCTATATTTACCGAACAGAATTTTAAACATCAGACTATTTAATATACAATCTCCAATCGGCCATGATAATAATACGCACTGCGAGATCGAACTCGAATACAACTATTAATATCACAGAGTGGGCGTTCTATCAAAAGTCACTAAAAACAAGTCACTTTTAGTACCGCTTTTGGAGAGCATAAGTAAATAAAATACAATTTTAGATGCTTTTTAATGCACTATTGTCATTATTGAGATACTTGCTACAGAATATAACATTTTATATTGACCGTTGATGACATAATACCGTACAATGTATGTCGAATTATCCAAATATGTTCGTGTTACACCCAACGTAATATATTTAATATATAATATAAATCCATTACGTCCCATATTTAAAAAAATAATAATCATAATATTATTAAATTAATATTTATTTTATTATTTTTGTTGATTTTTAACTGTGAAAAAATATAATTTTTAAATTATTGAAAATCAAAATTTAGACACAAAAACATTATTTTGAAAAACATAAAATAACATGGTTAAAATTAATAAATACTTTTTAAAACTTCTTTTAATCACGTATTTTAGTATTTTACTTAAAAAAAAAAAAAAATGTAAATTTTATGTTATTAATTAATTGTCAGCTGTAGATTTGAAATGGGATTTTAAGGCGGGTGGTATGTCATGTACGTAATTGAATTTCATTATCGGATATTATATTTTCGATAATGAGAGAGTAGCATAATTATATAATCTTATAGTCACTACCTGTGAACTGTTAGTCGATGATTATTGCAAATGCCAATCGAAAGTCTCGTATAGGCAACACGGCCGCTTCGAATATCGGTTATACTTATAAATAAATGCCGTATATTATTATTTTATTTTTAATATACGTAACTGGCTAATAACAAACAAAAGCTAATAACCTGCACACTTGGTTACGTTTACGACGAAACAAATTTAATATTTAAAAACATTACCATTGTATAATTTATTTTTCAAAATTGTGTTTTGTTCCAAGAAAATGGATTCTTGTATAATCGACATAAGTATATAATATTATAATGTTTTTCCAGTAATTTATAACTGAAAATAATATTGTTACGTATTTTTTTTTTTAGATCGAAGATAATTATATCGTAGATATAAAAACAAAAAAAAAATAACATGAAAAATATCATATTAGTTTTATTGTCATGTTTATATCTGGCTGGTTATATATATTAAATTGTGCAATTAATAAGTACATACTAAGTTTAGAATGTATAAAAATTATTATAATTTTTAATTTTTTTTTTAACGTGGATATTTCAAAATATGTGTGACGACGCTTGTGCTCAACATGGAACTATTATAATTGGTTATTATCTTATATTTAACAGTAAAAAAATATTTATTCATAAATAATAAAATAATTAACATTTTATAAGAAACAAGTTGCGGCCGGTCGCGCTGGTCGGTAAATATAATACATAGGTACGGTTTACATCGCCGACAACAATATCATTAAAAAAATGACTTTTTTCTAAAATCAATTTCAAAAGTTATAAATTATAACAGTAAGGCAAAAAACGGAATTAATTCGGGACAGATTTGAAAATACGGGACAAAAATCGCCCTGAAAGAAGATTGTCAGGAC